ACAGAGACACAGAGAGAGATAGAGACACACAGAGACACAGAGACACACAGAGACACAGAGACACACAGAGAGACACAGACACACAGACAGAGACACGGGGAGAGACCGTACAGCTGCATCCACACGGGCTGTAGCAAAGCCTTCAGTAACTCTAGTGATCGCGCTAAGCACCAGAGGACTCACCACGACACGGTGAGACACAGAGAGAGAGACACAGACACAGACAGAGACACACAGAAACACGGGGAGAGACACAGAGAGAGAGACACAGAGAGAGAGAGAGAGAGACAGAGAGAGAGACACAGAGACACACAGAGACTCACAGAGACACACAGAGACTCACAGAGACACAGAGAGACACAGAGAGAGAGAGAGAGACACACAGAGACACAGAGACACACACAGAGACACAGAGACACACAGAGAGACACAGAGACACAGACAGAGACACGGGGAGAGACCCTACAGCTGCATCCACACGGGCTGTAGCAAAGCCTTCAGCAACTCTAGTGATCGCGCTAAGCACCAGAGGACTCACCACGACACGGTGAGACACAGAGAGAGACACACAGAGAGAGACACAGACACAGACAGAGAGAGACACAGACACAGAGAGAGAGACACACAGAGACTCACAGAGACACACAGAGACTCACAGAGACACACAGAGACTCACAGAGACACAGAGAGACACACAGAGACACAGAGACACACAGAGACACAGAGACACACAGAGACACACAGAGAGAGACACACAGAGAGACACACAGAGACACAGAGACAGAGACACAGGGAGAGACCGTACAGCTGCATCCACACGGGCTGTAGCAAAGCCTTTAGCAACTCTAGTGATCGCGCTAAGCACCAGTGGACTCACCACGACACGGTGAGACACAGAGACAGAGACACAGACACAGACAGAGACACACAGAAACACGGGGAGAGACACAGAGAGAGAGACACAGAGAGAGAGAGAGACAGAGAGAGAGACACAGAGACACACAGAGACTCACAGAGACACACAGAGACTCACAGAGACACAGAGAGACACACAGAGAGAGAGACACACAGAGACACAGAGACACACACAGAGACACAGAGACACACAGAGAGACTCACAGAGACACACACAGAGAGAGACACAGAGACACAGGGAGAGACCGTACAGCTGCATCCACACGGGCTGTAGCAAAGCCTTCAGTAACTCTAGTGATCGCGCTAAGCACCAGAGGACTCACCACGACACGGTGAGACACAGAGAGAGACACACAGAGAGAGACACACAGAGAGACACACAGAGACACAGAGACACGGGGAGAGACCGTACAGCTGCATCCACACGGGCTGTAGCAAAGCCTTCAGTAACTCTAGTGATCGCGCTAAGCACCAGAGGACTCACCACGACACGGTGAGACACAGAGAGAGACACACAGAGAGAGAGACACACAGAGACTCACAGAGACACACAGAGACTCACAGAGACACAGAGAGAGATAGAGACACACAGAGACACAGAGACACACAGAGACACAGAGACACACAGAGAGAGACACACAGAGACACAGAGACAGAGACACGGGGAGAGACCGTACAGCTGCATCCACACGGGCTGTAGCAAAGCCTTTAGCAACTCTAGTGATCGCGCTAAGCACCAGAGGACTCACCACGACACGGTGAGACACAGAGAGAGAGACACAGAGAGAGAGAGACAGACACAGACAGAGAGAGACACAGACACAGAGAAAGAGACACAAAGAGAGACACACAGAGACTCACAGAGACACACAGAGACACACAGAGACTCACAGAGACACAGAGAGAGACACAGAGAGAGAGAGACACACAGAGACAGAGACACACAGAGAGAGAGACACACAGAGACTCACAGAGACACACAGAGAGACACACAGAGAGAGACACACAGAGAGACACACAGAGACAGAGACACAGGGAGAGACCGTACAGCTGCATCCACACGGGCTGTAGCAAAGCCTTTAGCAACTCTAGTGATCGCGCTAAGCACCAGAGGACTCACCACGACACGGTGAGACACAGAGAGAGAGAGAGACAGAGAGAGAGAGAGACACAGAGAGAGACTCACAGAGACACAGAGAGAGACAGACAGAGAGAGAGACACAGAGAGAGACACACAGAGACACACAGAGACACAGACAGACACAGAGACACAGAGAGAGACACAGCGAGAGAGAGACAGAGACACACAGAGAGAGACAGAGACACAGAGACACACAGAGAGACACAGAGATACACAGAGAGAGACAGAGAGAGACAGAGACACAGAGAGAGAGACAGAGACACAGAGAGAGAGAGACAGAGACAGAGAGAGACACAGAGAGAGACACGGGGAGACACACGGGGAGACACGGAGACACGGAGACAGAGAGAGAGACAGAGACACAGAGAGAGAGACACAGACAGAGACACAGAGAGACACACAGAGACACAGAGAGACACACAGAGACACACACAGAGACACACAGAGACACATAGAGACACAGAGAGACATAGTGTGCCACTCACTCCCCCCGTGTCTCTCTCTCCCCGTGTCTCTCTCACCGTGTCTCTCTCTCTGTCTCTCTCCCGTGTCTCTCTCTCCCCGTGTCTCTCTTTCTCTCCCCGTGTCTCTCTCTCCCCGTGTCTCTCTCTCCCCGTGTCTCTCTCCCCGTGTCTCTCTCCCCGTGTCTCTCTCTCTCTCCCCGTGTCTCTCTCTCCCCGTGTCTCTCTCACCGTGTCTCTCTCCCCGTGTCTCTCTCTCTATGTCTCTCTCCCCGTGTCTCTCTCCCCGTGTCTCTCTCTCTGTGTCTCTCTCTCCCCGTGTCTCTCTCTCCCCGTGTCTCTCTCTCTCCCCGTGTCTCTCTCTCCCCGTGTCTCTCTCTCCCCTTGTCTCTCTCTCCCCGTGTCTCTCTCTCCCCGTGTCTCTCTCTCCCCGTGTCTCTCCCCGTGTCTCTCCCCGTGTCTCTCTCCGTGTCTCTCTCCCCGTGTCTCTCTCCCCGTGTCTCTCTCTCCCCGTGTCTTTCTCTCCCCGTGTCTCTCTCCCCGTGTCTCTCTCTGTGTCTCTCTCCCTGTGTCTCTCTCTGTGTCTCTCTCCCCGTGTCTCTCCCCGTGTCTCTCTCTGTCTGTCTCTCTCCCCGTGTCTCTCTCCCCGTGTCTCTCTCTGTGTCTCTCTCCCCGTGTCTCTCTCTCCGTGTCTCTCTCCCCGTGTCTCTCTCTCCCCGTGTCTCTCCCCGTGTCTCTCTCCCCGTGTCTCTCTCCCCGTGTCTCTCTCTCCGTGTCTCTCTCCCCGTGTCTCTCTCTGTGTCTCTCTCCCCGTGTCTCTCTTCCCGTGTCTCTCTCCCCGTGTCTCTCTCTCTCCCCGTGTCTCTCTCTCCCCGTGTCTCTCTCCCCGTGTCTCTCTCTCCCCGTGTCTCTCCCCGTGTCTCTCTCCCCGTGTTTCTCTCTCCGTGTCTCTCTCTCTGTGTCTCTCTCCGTGTCTCTCTCCGTGTCTCTCTCCCCGTGTCTCTCGCCGTGTCTCTCTCTCCCCGTGTCTCTCCCCGTGTCTCTCTCTGTGTCTCTCTCCCCGTGTCTCTCTCTCCCCGTGTCTCTCTCTGTGTCTCTCTCTCCCCGTGTCTCTCTCTTTGTCTCTCCCCGTGTCTCTCCCCGCGTCTCTCTCCCCGTGTCTCTCCCCGTGTCTCTCTCTCCTCGTGTCTCTCTCTCCCCGTCTCTCTCTCCCCGTGTCTCTCTCTCCCCGTGTCTCTCTCTCTCCCCGTGTCTCTCTCTCCCCGTGTCTCTCTCTCTCCCCGTGTCTCTCTCTCCCCGTGTCTCTCTCTCCCCGTGTCTCTCCCCGTGTCTCTCCCCGTGTCTCTCTCCCCGTGTTTCTCTCTCCGTGTCTCTCTCTCTGTGTCTCTCTCCGTGTCTCTCTCCGTGTCTCTCTCCCCGTGTCTCTCGCCGTGTCTCTCGCCGTGTCTCTCTCTCCCCGTGTCTCTCCCCGTGTCTCTCTCTGTGTCTCTCTCCCCGTGTCTCTCTCTCCCCGTGTCTCTCTCTGTGTCTCTCTCTCCCCGTGTCTCTCCCCGTGTCTCTCCCCGTGTCTCTCTCTCCTCGTGTCTCTCTCTCCCCGTCTCTCTCTCCCCGTGTCTCTCTCTCCCCGTGTCTCTCTCTCTCCGTGTCTCTCTCCCCGTGTCTCTCTCTGTGTCTCTCTCTGTGTCTCTCTCCCCGTGTCTTTCTCTCCCCGTGTCTCTCTCTCCCCGTGTCTCTCTCCCCGTGTCTCTCTCTCTCCCCGTGTCTCTATCTCTCCCCGTGTCTCTCTCCCCGTGTCTCTCTCTCTCCCCTTGTCTCTCTCCCCGTGTCTCTCTCTCTCTCCCCGTGTCTCTATCTCTCCCCGTGTCTCTCTCTCTCTCTCCCCGTGTCTCTCTCTGTGTCTCTCCCCGTGTCTCTCCCCGTGTCTCTCTCTCCCCGTGTCTCTCTCTGTGTCTCTCCCCGTGTCTCTCTCCCCGTGTCTCTCTCCCCATGTCTCTCTCTCCCCATGTCTCTCTCTCTCCCCGTGTCTCTCCCCGTGTCTCTCTCCCCGTGTCTCTCTCTCTCCCCGTGTCTCTCTGTGTGTCTCTCTCTGTCTCTCTCTCCCCGTGTCTCTCTGTGTCTCTCTCCCCGTGTCTCTCTCTCTCCCCGTGTCTCTCTCCCCGTGTCTCTCTCCCCGTGTCTCTCTATGTGTCTCTCTCTCTCTGTGTCTCTCTCTCCCCGTGTCTCTCCCCGTGTCTCTCTCCCCGTGTCTATCCCCGTGTCTCTCTCTGTGTCTCTCTCCCCGTGTCTCTCTCTCCCCGTGTCTCTCCCCGTGTCTCTCTCCCCGTGTCTCTCCCCGTGTCTCTCTCTCTCCCCGTATCTCTCTCTGTGTCTCTCTCCCCGTGTCTCTCCCCGTGTCTCTCTCCGTGTCTCTCTCTCCCCGTGTCTCTCTTTGTCTCTCTCCCCGTGTCTCTCTCCAGAAGCCGTATGCCTGTCAAGTCCCTGGCTGCTCGAAGCGGTACACAGACCCCAGCTCACTCCGGAAGCACATCAAGACTCACGCGGTGTCTGGCACTACAACTACCACCACCACCACCACCACCTTCATCAGCAGCAGCAGCAGTCACTCACGCAAGAAGGTGGGGTGTAGCTCAGTCAGTCACTCAGTCACTGAGTCAGTCACTCAGTCAGTCACTCAGTCAGTCACTCAGTCACTCAGTCAGTCACTCAGTCAGTCACTCACACAGTCACACAGTCACTCAATCAGTCACTCACTCAGTCACTCAGTCAGTCACTCAGTCACTCAGTCAGTCACTCAGTCAGTCAGTCACTCAGTCACTCACTCACTCAGTCACTCAGTCACTCACTCACTCAGTCACACAGTCAGTCACTCAGTCACTCAGTACATCAAAACTCACGCGGTGTCTGGCACTACAACTACCACCACCACCACCTTCATCAGCAGCAGCAGCAGTCACTCACGCAAGAAGGTGGGGTGTAGCTCAGTCAGTCACTCAGTCAGTCACTCAGTCACTCAGTCAGTCACTCAGTCACTCAGTCAGTCACTCACTCATTCAGTCAGTCACTCAGTCAGTCATTCACTCAGTCAGTCACTCACACAGTCACTCAGTCAGTCAGTCACTCACACAGTCACTCACTCACTAAGTAACTCACTCAGTCACTCAGTCAGTCACTCAGTCAGTCACACAGTCAGTCACTCAGTCAGTCACACAGTCACTCACACAGTCACTCAGTCACTCAGTACATCAAGACTCACGCGGTGTCTGGCACTACAACTACCACCACCACCACCTTCATCAGCAGCAGCAGTCACTCACGCAAGAAGGTGGGGTGTAGCTCAGTCAGTCACTCAGTCAGTCACTCAGTCACTCAGTCAGTCACTCAGTCACTCACTCAGTCAGTCACTCAGTCACTCAGTCAGTCACTCAGTCAGTCACTCAGTCAGTCACTCAGTCACTCAGTCAGTCACTCACTCATTCAGTCAGTCACTCAGTCAGTCACTCAGTCAGTCACTCAGTCACTCACTCAGTCAGTCACTCAGTCACTCAGTCAGTCACTCAGTCAGTCACTCAGTCAGTCACTCAGTCACTCAGTCAGTCACTCACTCATTCAGTCAGTCACTCAGTCAGTCACTCAGTCAGTCACTCAGTCACTCACTCAGTCAGTCACTCAGTCACTCAATCAGTCACTCACTCAGTCACTCAGTCAGTCACTCAGTCACTCAGTCAGTCAGTCACTCAGTCACTCGGTCACTCAGTCACTCAATCAGTCACTCACTCAGTCACTCAGTCAGTCACTCAGTCACTCAGTCAGTCACTCAGTCAGTCAGTCACTCAGTCACTCACTCACTCAGTCACTCAGTCAGTCAGTCAGTCACTCACACAGTCAGTCACTCAGTCACTCAGTACATCAAAACTCACGCGGTGTCTGGCACTACAACTACCACCACCACCACCTTCATCAGCAGCAGCAGCAGTCACTCACGCAAGAAGGTGGGGTGTAGCTCAGTCAGTCACTCAGTCAGTCACTCAGTCACTCAGTCAGTCACTCAGTCAGTCACTCAGTCACTCAGTCAGTCACTCACTCACTCACTCAGTCACACAGTCAGTCACTCAGTCACTCAGCATATCAAAACTCACGCGGTGTCTGGCACTACAACTACCACCACCACCACCACCACCTTCATCAGCAGCAGCAGCAGTCACTCACGCAAGAAGGTGGGGTGTAGCTCAGTCAGTCACTCAGTCAGTCACTCAGTCAGTCACTCAGTCAGTCACTCACTCACACAGTCACTCAGTCAGTCACTCAGTCAGTCACTCAGTCAGTCACTCACACAGTCACTCACTCAGTCACTCAGTCAGTCACTCAGTCAGTCAGTCAGTCACTCACACAGTCAGTCAGTCATTCACTCAGCACATCAAAACTCACGCGGTGTCTGGCACTACAACTACCACCACCACCACCACCTTCATCAGCAGCAGCAGTCACTCACGCAAGAAGGTGGGGTGTAGCTCAGTCAGTCACTCAGTCACTCAGTCAGTCACTCAGTCAGTCACTCAGTCACTCACACAGTCACTCAGTCAGTCACTCAGTCACTCAGTCAGTCACTCAGTCACTCAGTCAGTCACTCACTCAGTCACTCAGTCACTCACTCAGTCACTCACTCAGTCACTCAGTCAGTCACTCAGTCACTCAGTCAGTCACTCAGTCAGTCACTCAGTCACTCAGTCAGTCACTCAGTCACTCACTCAGTCACTCAGTCAGTCACTCAGTCAGTCACTCAGTCACTCAGTCAGTCACTCAGTCACTCACTCAGTCACTCAGTCACTCAGTCAGTCACTCAGTCAGTCAGTCAGTCACTCATTCAGTCACTCAGTCATTCACTCAGTCACTCAGTCAGTCACTCACTCAGTCACTCAGTCATTCACTCAGTCACTCACTCAGTCACTCAGTCAGTCACTCAGTCAGTCACTCAGTCACTCAGTCCGTCACTCAGTCACTCAGTCAGTCACTCACTCAGTCACTCAGTCATTCACTCAGTCAGTCACTCAGTCACTCAGTCAGTCACTCAGTCAGTCACTCAGTCAGTCACTCAGTCACTCACTCAGTCAGTCACTCAGTCACTCAATCAGTCACTCACTCAGTCACTCAGTCAGTCACTCAGTCACTCAGTCAGTCAGTCACTCAGTCAGTCACTCAGTCACTCAGTCACTCAGTCACTCAGTCACTCGGTCACTCAGTCACTCAATCAGTCACTCACTCAGTCACTCAGTCAGTCACTCAGTCACTCAGTCAGTCACTCAGTCAGTCAGTCACTCAGTCACTCACTCACTCAGTCACTCAGTCACTCACTCACTCAGTCACACAGTCAGTCACTCAGTCACTCAGCACATCAAAACTCACGCGGTGTCTGGCACTACAACTACCACCACCACCACCACCACCTTCATCAGCAGCAGCAGTCACTCACGCAAGAAGGTGGGGTGTAGCTCAGTCAGTCAGTCACTCAGTCAGTCACTCAGTCACTGAGTCAGTCACTCAGTCACTCACACAGTCACTCAGTCAGTCACTCAGTCACTCAGTCAGTCACTCAGTCAGTCACTCACACAGTCACTCAGTCACTCAATCAGTCACTCAGTCAGTCACTCAGTCACTCACTCAGTCAGTCACTCAGTCACTCAGTACATCAAAACTCACGCGGTGTCTGGCACTACAACTACCACCACCACCACCACCTTCATCAGCAGCAGCAGTCACTCACGCAAGAAGGTGGGGTGTAGTTCAGTCAGTCACTAAGTCACTCAGTCAGTCACTCAGTCAGTCACTCAGTCACTCAGTCAGTCACTCAGTCACTCAGGCAGTCACTCACTCAGTCACTCAGTCAGTCACTCACTCAGTCACTCAGTCACTCACTCAGTCAGTCACTCAGTCACTCAGTCACTCAGTCAGTCACTCAGTCAGTCACTCAGTCACTCAGTCAGTCACTCAGTCACTCAGTCAGTCACTCACTCAGTCACTCAGTCAGTCACTCACTCAGTCACTCAGTCACTCACTCAGTCAGTCACTCAGTCACTCACTCAGTCAGTCACTCAGTCACTCACTCAGTCAGTCACTCAGTCACTCAGTCACTCACTCAGTCACTCAGTCAGTCACTCAGTCACTCACTCAGTCAGTCACTCAGTCACTCAGTACATCAAAACTCACGCGGTGTCTGGCACTACAACTACCACCACCACCACCACCTTCATCAGCAGCAGCAGCAGCAGTCACTCACGCAAGAAGGTGGGGTGTAGCTCAGTCAGTCACTCACTCAGTCACTCAGTCACTCAGTCACTCACTCAGTCACTCAGTCACTCAGTCAGTCACTCAGTCAGTCACTCAGTCAGTCACTCAGTCAGTCAGTCACTCACACAGTCACTCACTCACTAAGTAACTCACTCAGTCACTCAGTCAGTCACTCAGTCAGTCACACAGTCACTCAGTCAGTCACTCAGTCACTCAGTCAGTCACTCAGTCAGTCACACAGTCACTCACACAGTCACTCAGTCAGTCACTCAGTCAGTCACACAGTCAGTCACACAGTCACTCAGTCACTCACACAGTCACTCAGTCACTCAGTACATCAAGACTCACGCGGTGTCTGGCACTACCACTACCACCACCACCTTCATCAGCAGCAGCAGCAGTCACTCAGTCAGTCACTCACTCAGTCAGTCACTCAGTCAGTCACTCAGTCACTCACTCAATCAGTCACTCGGTCACTCACTCAGTCACTCACTCAGTCAGTCACTCAGTCAGTCACTCAGTCACTCACTCAATCAGTCACTCGGTCACTCACTCAGTCACTCAGTCAGTCAGTCAGTCAGTCACTCAGTCAGTCACTCAGTCAGTCACTCACTCGGTCACTCACTCAGTCAGTCAGTCACTCGGTCAGTCAGTCAGTCAGTCACTCAGTCACTCATTCACTCACTCAGTCAGTCAGTCACTCACTCAGTCACTCAGTCACTCACTCAGTCACTCACTCATTCAGTAACTCAGTCACTCACTCAGTCACTCAGTCAGTCGGTCACTCAGTCAGTAACTCAGTCAGTCAGTCACTCAGTCAGTCAGTCGGTCACTCAGTCAGTCACTCAGTCACTCACTCAGCCACTCACTCATTCAGTCACTCACACAGTCACTCAGTCACTCACTCAGTCAGTCACTCAGTCAGTCACTCAGTCACTCACTCGGTCACTCAGTCACTCAGTCAGTCAGTCACTCAGTCACTCACTCAGTCACCCACTCAGTCAGTCACTCACTCAGTCAGTCACTCAGTCAGTCGGTCAGTGAGTCAGTCAGTCACTCACTCAGTCAGTCACTCAGTCAGTCGGTCAGTGAGTCAGTCAGTCACTCAGTCAGTCAGTCACTCAGTCAGTCGGTCAGTGAGTCAGTCAGTCAGTCGGTCAGTGAGACAGTCAGTCGGTTAGTCAGGCAGTTGGTCAGTCACTCAGTCAGTCACTCAGTGAGGCAGTCGGTCGGTCGGGCAGTCAGGCAGTCAGTCAGTTAATCAGTCACTCAGGCAACGAGTCAGTTACTCAGACAGTTAGTTTTTAAGTTAGTCAGTCAGTTAGTGAGTCGGTCAGTTAGTTAGTCAGTCAGGCAGTCAGTCAGTCAGTTAGTTAGTCAGTCAGTCAGGCAGTCAGTCATCGCTCAGTGAGGCAGTCAGTCGGTCAGTCAGTTAGTCAGTCAGTCAGTCACTCAGGCACTTAGTCAGTCAGTTACTGATTCAAACAGTCGGTCACTGAGTCAGTCACTCACTCAGTCACTTAGTCAGTCATTCCGTCACTCGGTGAGTCAGTTACTCACTCAGTCATTGAGTCATTCAGTCACTCGGTGAGTCAGTTACTCACTCAGTCACTGAGTCAGTCACTCACTCAGTCACTTAGTCAGTCATTCCGTCACGCGGTGAGTCAGTTACTCACTCAGTCACTGAGTCAGTCACTCACTCAGTCACTTAGTCAGTCATTCCGTCACGCGGTGAGTCAGTTACTCACTCAGTCACTGAGTCAGTCACTCACTCAGTCACTTAGTCAGTCATTCGGTCACTCGGTGAGTCAGTTACTCACTCAGTCACTGAGTCAGTCACTCACTCAGTCACTTAGTCATTCAGTCACTCGGTGAGTCAGTTACTCACTCAGTCACTGAGTCAGTCACTCACTCAGTCACTTAGTCAGTCATTCCGTCACTCGGTGAGGCAGTTACTCACTCAGTCACTGAGTCAGTCACTCACTCAGTCACTTAGTCAGTCATTCAGTCACTCGGTGAGGCAGTTACTCACTCAGTCACTGAGTCAGTCACTCACTCAGTCACTTAGTCAGTCATTCCGTCACTCGGTGAGGCAGTTACTCACTCAGTCACTGAGTCAGTCACTCACTCAGTCACTTAGTTAGTAACTCGGTGAGTTAGTGAGTCAGTCACTCAATTAGTCAGTCAATCACTCGGTCAGTCAGTTAATGATGATGTTGATGATGATGATGATAAGGATGTTGATGATGATGTTGATGATGATGATAGTGGTGATGATGTTGGTGATGTTGATGATGATGTTGATGATGATGATGTTGATGATGATGATGTTGCTGCTGAAGTTGATAATGATGTTGATAATGATGTTGATGTTGATGATGATGTTGATGATGATGCTGATGATGATCTTGATGATGATGATGTTGATGATGATGCTGATGATGTTGATGATGATGATGTTGATGATGATGATGATGCTGATTGTGATGCTGCTGTCTCTCAGCTCAGGGCAACAACAACAACATCATCATCATCAGCTGCTGCTGCTGATGATGATGCTGATGACTGCGATCCGTTGATGAGCTGCCTCACCATCCACACCCTGCATCGCCGAAACTCCCCCCGTTCGGTGATGGACTCGTCCAGTAGGCAGTGTGGAGGTGCGGAGTGGACTCTACCATCTCATCTACACGGGGGGGGTTACACACACAGACACACACAGAGACACACACAGAGACTCACACAGAGACACACACAGAGACTCACACAGAGACTCACACAGAGACACACACAGAGACACACACAGAGACTCACACAGAGACTCACACAGAGACTCACACAGAGAGAGACTCACACAGAGACTCACACAGAGACTCACACAGAGACTCACACAGAGACACACACAGAGACACACACAGAGACACACACAGAGACTCACACAGAGACACACACAGAGACTCACACAGAGACTCACACAGACACACACAGAGACACAGAGACACACACAGAGACACACACAGAGACTCACACAGAGACTCACACAGACACACACACAGAGACACACACAGAGAGACTCACACAGAGACTCACACAGAGACACACACAGAGACACACACAGAGACTCACACACAGAGACACACACAGAGACTCACACACACAGAGACTCACACAGAGACACACACACAGACACACACACAGAGACTCACACAGAGACTCACACAGAGACACACACAGAGACTCACACAGAGACTCACACAGAGACACACACAGAGACTCACACAGAGACTCACACAGAGACACACACAGAGACTCACACAGAGACACACACAGAGACTCACACAGACACTCACACAGACACACACACAGAGACACACACAGAGAGACTCACACAGAGACTCACACAGAGACACACACAGAGACTCACACAGAGACTCACACACAGAGACACACACAGAGACTCACACACACAGAGACTCACACAGAGACACACACACAGACACACACACAGAGACTCCCACAGAGACTCACACAGAGACACACACAGAGACTCACACAGAGACTCACACAGAGACACACACAGAGACTCACACAGAGACTCACACACAGAGACACACACAGAGACACACACACAGACACACACAGAGACACACACACAGACACACACACAGAGACTCACACAGAGACTCACACAGAGACACACACAGAGACTCACACAGAGACTCACACACAGAGACACACACAGAGACTCACACACACAGAGACTCACACACACAGAGACACACACAGAGACACACACAGAGACTCACTCAGAGACTCACACAGAGACACACTCAGAGACACACACAGAGACACACACAGAGACACAGAGACACACACAGAGACACACAGAGACTCACACAGAGAGACACACAGAGACACTCACACAGAGACACACACAGAGACACACAGAGACACACACAGAGACACAGAGAGACACACAGAGACACTCACAGAGACACACACATAGACACACACAGACTCACACAGAGACACACACAGAGACTCAGAGACTCACACAGAGACACACACAGAGACACACACAGAGACACACACAGAGACACACACAAAGACTCACACAGAGACACACACAGAGACACACACAGAGACTCACACAGAGACTCACACAGAGACACACACAGAGACACAGAGACTCACACAGAGACACACACACAGAGACTCACACAGAGACACACACAGAGACTCACACACAGAGACTCACACAGAGACACACACAGAGACACAGAGACTCACACAGAGACACAGAGAGACACACACAGAGACACACACAGAGAGACAGAGACTCACACAGAGACACACACACAGAGACTCACACAGAGACACACACAGAGACTCACACACAGAGACTCACACAGAGACACACACAGAGACACAGAGACTCACACAGAGACACAGAGAGACACACACAGAGACACACACAGAGAGACAGAGACTCACACAGAGACACACACAGAGACTCACACAGAGACTCACACAGAGACTCACACAGAGACACACACAGAGACACACACAGAGAGACTCACACAGAGACTCACACAGAGACACACACAGGGACTCACATAGAGACACACAGAGAGACACACAGAGACTCACACAGAGACACACACAGAGACTCACACAGAGACTCACACAGAGACTCACACAGAGACACACACAGAGACTCACAGAGAGACACACAGAGACACACAGAGACTCACACAGAGACTCACGCAGAGACACACACAGAGACTCACACAGAGACACACAGACACACACAGAGACTCACACAGAGACACACACAGAGACACACACAGAGACTCACACAGAGACTCACACAGAGACTCACACAGAGACTCACACACACAGAGACTCACACACACAGAGACACACACAGAGACACACACACAGACACACACACAGAGACTCACACAGAGACTCACACAGAGACACACACAGAGACTCACACAGAGACTCACACACAGAGACACACACAGAGACTCACACACACAGAGACTCACACACACAGAGACACACACAGAGACACACACACAGACACACACACAGAGACTCACACAGAGACTCACACAGAGACACACACAGAGACTCACACAGAGACTCACACACAGAGACAGACACAGAGACTCACACACACAGAGACACACACAGAGACACACACAGAGACACACACAGAGACTCACTCAGAGACTCACACAGAGACACACTCAGAGACACACACAGAGACACACACAGAGACACAGAGACACACACAGAGACACACAGAGACTCACACAGAGAGACACACAGAGACACTCACACAGAGACACACACAGAGACACACACAGAGACACACAGAGACACACACAGAGACACAGAGAGACACACAGAGACACTCACAGAGACACACACATAGACACACACAGACTCACACAGAGACACACACAGAGACTCAGAGACTCACACAGAGACACACACAGAGACACACACAGAGACACACACAAAGACTCACACAGAGACACACACAGAGACACACACAGAGACTCACACAGAGACTCACACAGAGACACACACAGAGACACAGAGACTCACACAGAGACACACACACAGAGACTCACACAGAGACACACACAGAGACTCACACACAGAGACTCACACAGAGACACACACAGAGACACAGAGACTCACACAGAGACACAGAGAGACACACACAGAGACACACACAGAGAGACAGAGACTCACACAGAGACACACACAGAGACTCACACAGAGACACACACAGAGACTCACACACAGAGACTCACACAGAGACACACACAGAGAGACTCACACAGAGACTCACACAGAGACTCACACAGAGACTCACATAGAGACACACACAGAGAGACACACAGAGACTCACACAGAGACACAGAGACACACACAGAGACTCACACAGAGACTCACACAGAGACTCACACAGAGACACACACAGAGACTCACAGAGAGACACACAGAGACACACAGAGACTCACACAGAGACTCACACAGAGACACACACAGAGACTCACACAGAGACACACACAGAGACTCACACAGAGACACACAGACACACACAGAGACTCACACAGAGACTCACACAGAGACTCACACAGAGACTCACACAGAGACACACACAGACACACACAGAGACTCACACAGAGACTCACACAGAGACTCACACAGAGACACACACAGAGACTCACACAGAGACACACAGACACACACAGAGACTCACACAGAGACTCACACAGAGACTCACACAGAGACACACACAGTCACAGAGACTCACACAGAGACTCACAGAGACTCACACACAGACACACACAGAGACACAGAGACACACACAGAGACACAGAGAGACACACACAGAGACTCACACAGAGACACAGAGACTCACACAGAGACTCACACAGAGACACACACAGAGACTCACACAGAGACTCACACAGAGACTCACACAGAGACTCACACAGAGACACACACAGAGACTCACACAGAGACATCACACAGAGACTCACACACAGAGACTCACACAGAGACACACAGAAACACACACAGAGACACACACAGAGACACACAGAGACACAGAGACACACACAGAGACACAGAGAGACACACACAGAGACTCACACAGAGACACACAGAGACTCACACAGAGACACACAAAGAGACTCACACAGAGACTCACAGAGACACACACAGAGACACACACAGAGACTCACACACAGAGACTCACACAGAGACACACACAGAGACTCACACAGACACACACAGAGACTCACACACAGAGACTCACACAGAGACACACACAGAGACTCACACAGAGACTCACACAGAGACACACAGAGAGACACACAGAGACACACAGAGAGACACACAGAGAGACACACAGAGACACACAAAGAGACACACACACAGAGACACACACAGAGACACACACAGAGACTCACACAGAGACACACACACACACAGAGACACTCACAGAGACACACACAGAGACACACACAGACACACGCAGAGACACACACAGCGACACGCACAGAGACACGCACAGAGACACACACAGAGACACACACAGAGACACACACAGAGACACACAGAGACACACACAGAGACACACACAGACACACGCAGAGACACACACAGAGAAACGCACAGAGACACGCACAGAGACACACACAGAGACACACACAGAGACACTCACACAGAGACACACAGAGAGACACACAGAGACACGCACAGAGACACACACAGAGACACACAGAGACACACAGAGACTCACACAGAGACTCACACAGAGACACACACAGAGAAACTCACACAGAGACACACACAGAGACACACACAGAGACTCACACAGAGACACACACACAGAGACACACAGAGAGACACACAGAGACACTCACAGAGACACACAGAGACACACACAGAGACACACACAGAGACACACACAGAGATACACACAGAGACACACACAGAGACACACAGAGACACGCACAGAGACACACACAGAGACACACAAAGAGACACACACACAGAGACACACACAGAGACACACACAGAGACTCACACAGAGACACACACACAGAGACACACAGAGAGACACACAGAGACACTCACAGAGACACACAGAGACACACACAGAGACACACACAGAGACACACACAGAGACTCACACA